CGTCGCTTAGTGCTTGGGCGACTTGTGTTAATTGTTGTAGCGTTTGGGTTAGGGGGTCATGCGTGGCGGGTTCTGGAGTCCTTGATTGTCTTATGTTGGGTGCCATGTTGTCGTCTTCCTGGGTCAATGTTTATAAGAGCGTTAAATTGGGGCTTGCGGTCCTTCTTAGGGGAAAGTTTTTCTCCAGGTAAGGGAGGTTATGTGTAGGTTTCACAATCTCACCGCGTGTCCTAAGATTCCTGAATCTTATGTTCCTAGATACTTAGAGTTCGAGCCTATTGTCCTAAAGTCTGGTCTTAAGAGTCTTATACTAGGGTCAAACTTAGGCTCTGATACCAACTGTAACACCCCAGATTTTCAAGATATTTAAAACTTACAAAATAAAGGTGAAATCTCATTAGATCCCAAAACATAATACCAGAGTGCGGGGTGCTATGCCACACCTGAGCTAGAGAACTCAGGTGCACAGGCTAACTAACTAATATCCTCAAAACGTAAATGCATAACATGGCACGCAGGCCGAAAGGGAAACTATCTACTTCTACGATCCAAGTTCTAGCGCGCTCCAGTGACTTATTCATCTGTGCCTGAAAGCCAAATATATCTGTTCAGCGAGGAATGCTGGTAACCCACTCCAACGCGTTGAAATACATTACATATAGAGATATATATAGATATACGAAAACCATTTTGGAGCATGAAGATATATCCTACGAGACTCTATCTTTTAAAATTGGGAATGACTCGACAGATAAGGCTAGACATAAACAGCAGTTATATCAGGCGTATACAATCCACAACAGGCAAGACAGATAAAGCTGAGCACAATTAATAATCATAACCCAACTTAAACAATCCCCAGCATAAATCCCATAGTCACATCCCCCAATATACTCATAAACACAACTCCTCCATATCTCATCACATAGCACACTTTGTTGGCGCCACAGGACCAATCGCATGCCCATACATGAGGGTCAACGCATATAGCTCTGACACGGCCCCGCAGCACCCTGCCCCGTCTCACCTTACGGAGGAGTCGATCGCAACCGACTATTGAACCGCAGTTCTATATAATATTTATATACCTGACCGGTCTTTACCAGCCTGGTTAACAGTTGGGATGGTTCTCAACCCATTCAACTGCCCGTATAGTGGACCTTTGTCCTATATAGTATTTATATACCTGACCGGTCTTTACCAGCCTGGTTAACAGCCGGTATGGTTCTCAGCCCATCCGACTGCCCGTATAGTGGAACTTAGTCCTATATAATATTTATATACCTGACCGGTCTCTACCAGCCTGGTTAACAGCCGATATGGTTCTCAGCCCACCCGACTGCCCGTATAGCCCGATTGATCTCAACCAAATCGGGGTTACATGCACACATAACACATAGCAAGCACATGCAACCCACATTAACACATTGGGAAGGGGGAGAAAACGTATAACAAAACCTATGCGTGATCCTTCACATACTAAGAATAGTCCTAAGGGGTTCATACTCCTTTCACCTAGGTCAGCGGGATACCAATTCAACTAGCATGCAATATATAAGACTCATACAACCTACGAACGGTACCCCAAGCATCAAACTAGACATAGGCACGATAAACGGAGTCCGTTGGGACACCACGGGGGCCGGGGAAACATCAAACGGGGAAGTCGGGGTCCCAAGTGTGGGAATTTCCAGCGGGTAGCCGGTGGGTGGGGGGCCACCCGCCGGTAACACTGTTCCGGGCAGCGGGTCGCCGGCGGGCAGCTGCCCGCTGCCGGAACTGCCTTCTTTTGACCGCAGGTAGGTGGCGGGTCCCCTACCCCCACCTACCCCCCACTGACTCCTTAACACCAAAAACGCCCCGGGAACCTTCGTGGGACCCGAGACCATGCTTAGACACTTTTAAACGCAATTGACAACACACGTAGACGATTTAACGGATCAAAATCAAGAATCCAACGGCACATAACCTATCATGCTTTGCTAGACCTAATAAACCCCCAATCATGTGGAATCCCACCCAATATACCAAGAATAATACCATACGAATTCCACGATATAACCTAGGGTTCTAATTACTTTTATATCAACAAGAATATGGTTCGCCTTCTAATTACAAGATTCGGTATAAATAACACATAAGTATCAAGAACGTCATACAATTATCAAGAACACCATATAATCATCAAGAACTCCACGTAATCGTTAAGAACACCATAGTTATCAAGAATCTCCCAATATCAAGATCACCCATGGAATTATCCCATCAATCATCAATAATAATATCATAAAACATCAATACACAATAATATGGGGAAATCCTACGGGGGAAACCATAACTATGAAAATAGGTTTTGTTGAGATATGGGTTACCTCTTAGCCTTAATTAATTCCTTGGCTATGAAGGGTCTTTCTTTAAGCTTTCTTGCTTTCTTGATTTCTTCTAGGGGGGGTTCTTGGAGCTCTTTGGGGTGGTGGGCGTTATTCCTGTGGTGGGGGGATTTCTAGGTGCCTCTTAAGTCCCCTATTTATATATTTAGAAGTCCTAGTTAGGAACTAATATTATGGGCTTGCTAGTTCTATTTCTTTTGGGACTAAGGATTGGGTTTAGGGATAAGGGCCCGTGGACTATGGTGGGCCTTTCCTAATTAATTATTGTGATTTAATTCTCTCTTTTGGGTAATTGATTAAATGCTTTAATTGATCTTAGGGGTCGTACCACGGGGTGTTACAGGACCATGGCACGTTCTTCGACTGAAGTAAAATACAAGGGACTCGTCGAAGTTTTATGAAATATGCTAAACATGCTTCTTTTGTTTTTTTTTCTTTTCTTTAATTTTGCTTCAGGTGATTCTTTCAATGTTAGTGGTTGTCACCACATCTAGGTTGCACTTGCAAATTATAAATTTTGTAGATGATATGAGGATGGAGGAGGTATTCAAATCATGGTGCCTTTCAGTTTTCATGGTTTTCATTGAAAACTATTTCCCATTCCTTAATTATCTTGTTGTTTAAATTATTAATTGAACCAACAAAACTCTCAAAGTAAATCTATCTGGATAGCAATTTATTGGAAAAACTCAGTGATAAATATAGGAAGTATATGGTTTGTGTTGCAATTCATAGAAATGAATGGGATGGATATAGCTTCTCACTAGCGTAAAGATCACTAAATTTTACCAATCGTTCCCTAAAGTTGAATGAACAATTGATGTAATATTTACAGAAAGCTTGTAATAAAATCAACCGAAGTAGCTTAGTCTCGGATTTTTGGTAGAACGAGGTTTATAGTTAGTAAAGATTATTAGAAGAGTCTATATTGATGAAGGCTGAGGATCGGACGTGATGAGAGGGATGCAATGAGAGTCTGGAAAGGAACATGGGAAAGAAAATTATCAATCTCAACAGAGTTCATACAGAGAGAATGTAAACGAAGAAGGGGAGCGGGAATGACGGTTGTAACAAACTATCTAGGGATATAACAATAATGGCCCGTTTGGTTCACGGAATCAATTTGGAGGGAATATGAATGTTAATTCATAAGGAATGGAATATGTAAGGAATATAATAGAATTGTATTCTATTGTTTGGTTCGGGGAAAGAATAGACTTTAGAAATTGTATTCCAATGTTTGGTTGGTTAAGGAATAGAAATGGAATATATGTTTAAAAGACATAAATGCCCTTAATAATAATAATAATAATAATAATAATAATAATAATAATAATAATAATAATAATAATAATAATAATAATAATACCTCAGCATTTATTATTGTGATTATTATTACCAGACAAAATATGATCGGAGTGTTCAGCATGCGATCTAGCACTATAGTCACATGGGGATATACGTTGTCTTCCTCGACGATCAAATGCCTCCAGGGATCATTGTGGAGGTCCAACGATCTGACCGGCATGGTCATATTAGTGATCGGCCTCCGGTTGCGACATCGGATGGACTACGGCCTTCTTCGTCCTTGGAGTCTTTGCCGGCGATGGAGTCTGTGCAAGGGCAATCGGAGGGTTGTGGAGGGGTCGCGGTTGAGCGGCGAACAGTTCCCCCCAATCAGATTGAGGATCGTCGGTGTCCAGAATTAGCGGATTCAGCTCTACCGCCAGTAGGGTTTCGCCCTGCTATGGCGGCTGTCTCGACGACGGGCGATGGAGCGGGTCTCGTCGCGGTTGGTGCCATTCTCGCGACCAATCAGACCCCTGATCAACAGCATTTTGGGCGATGGCCAACTATCACTCGAAGGTGGAGCTCCGGTGGTAGTCTCGGGGAGTACCCACCTCTAATTTGCAATCGGAGAACGGAGAGGACCTCTGGGATATGCTGCGTCTAGACTTCTACGCTGGCCAGGATGCTCGTCGACAGCCTCGGGCTCTTGAGGTCAGTCGCGAGCTGCCGGTTGCGACAGCTACGGATGGTGTCGTCACCGCCTTGCATGTCCAGCTGGAAGTGTACCAATCGAGTGGAGGCACTTCGAGGGGTTTACCATCTGGTGAGACCATGGTTGCGGGCACTAGAGATGCTATGGTTGCGACTGTGAAGCGTAGTATCGGTTCTGTATCGCAGGGTAAAATAGAAAATAAAATAAAAAATCTATTCTTGCTGACGCAGGAATAGGTTAATACCAGGGGCGCCAGGTAATAACAATTACCTTATTTGGGGGAATAGTCTATTACCAGGAATATTATTCTTGGGAATACAAACGTTTGCCAAACAAAGGAATAGGCTTATTACTGGGAATGCTATGCCATTCTAGGCCTATTCCGTGAACCAAACGGGCCTTAAAGCCCTTAAATAGTACTTTCAGCTAACTGCCCTTCTGAGTTCTTGACTTGTTGTTGTGTATTATCATTCAATATCCCCTGTAAGCTGGAGCATGCATATCTTGCATGCCCAGCTTAGATGCAAAGTTTTGAAAATTGGAAGTGGGTAAGGACTTCGTAAAACCATTCGCTACTTGGTTCAAGGATGAAACAGATAACAACTTGATCAACCCTTGCTAAGCTTCTCCCAGACGACACAACAATCAATATCAATATGTTTCGTCCGTTCATGAAATAAATGATTTTCAGCGGTTGCCACTGCCGACTTGCTGTCACAAAAGATGGTTGTAGGCTTGGTAAGTGTAACCTGCATATCATGTAGAAGATATCTCAACCATTGCACTTCACATACGGTGTCTGCCAAGCCACGGTACTCAGCTTTGGAAGATGATCTTGATACCGTTGCTTGTTTCTTGGACCTCCACGAAATTAAGGCAAATCCCAGGAAGACACAATACCCCGTGATGGACTTTCGAGTCTCACTACAATTAGCCCAATCCAAATTGGAGAATACCTTTAGGTGCAAATTTGTGCTGACTGGATAAAAGAGGCCTTGCCCTGGTGATTGTTTAATGTACCTCAGTACTCGGTGAGCCGCAGTTAGGTGATGATTTGTTGGGGCATCAACAAATTGGCTTAGCTGTTGGATGACATAGGCAATGTCGAGTCTTGTAGTAGTGAGGTATAGCAACTTCCCAACAAGCCTTCGATAACTAGTATGATCATCCGGAAGTGTTCCATCATGATTAAGCTTCAGGTTTTGCGCCATGGGTGTGCTTGCGGGCTTGCATCCAAGGAAGCCAGTTTCTTCCAGAATTTCCAATACATATTTGCGTTGGCATATATTTAGGTCATCTGTTGATGATTTTTCTTCTATTCCCAGGAAATAGCCTAAAGGGCCACGATTTTTGATCTTGAAAGTGTTGTCTAGGAACATCTTAAGCTCTGTGATTAACTCCATGTTGGCACTTGCTACTAAAATATCATCAACGTACACATGTAGAACAATAAAAGTGTTGCCATTCCCTTTGCTGAATAGGGAAGGATCAACTTTCGATTGGCTAAAACCAATGTGAGATAGGGCAGTGCACAATTTTGCGTTCTATTGTCTACTTGCTTGCTTGAGCCCATATAACGATCTTAGCAATCAGCATACCTGATTTGGTTTTGAGCTTTGGAAGCCGGGAGGGAGCACCATGTAGACTTCTCCATTTAGATCTCCGTCAAGAGATGCGTTAATGATATCCATTTGGTGGATGTGCCATTTCTTAGAAATTGATATGCCCAGAAATGTGCTGATGGTTTTCATTCTTGCCACTGGGGAATAGGTCTCGATGTAATCTACCCCAAGCTGCTGCGTATAGCCTTTTGCGACCAGCCTTGCCTTGTGCCTCTCCACAGTCCCATCCGCTTTGAGTTTTGTTTTGTACACACACTTGCATCCTATAGGAGTTTTTCCAGCAGGAAGCTCACATAATTCCTATGTATTGTTCTGTTATAGGGCTTCTATCTCTACGTCCATGGTCCTTTTCCAATGGTCGTGCTTAATAGCTTGAGAATATGACCCTGGCTCATGAATGTTAGTAACTGCCATAGAGAAAGCTTTGTGTGGAGTATCAAGATTACCATAAGATATGAACTTTGAAAGAGGATGAGGAGTGGGCTTGTTTTGTATGACTGAATTGCAGTAGTAGTCTTGTATTCGGGTTGAAACTTGACGTTGTCTGGTCGATCTACTTGCCTGTATTGGAGAGCTAGTGGATAGAATATCCATATCATCACTGTGATCAGAGTTGGAATCATAAATATCAACTGAATGGTTGGTGGGTGGAGTATTGTTATCAACTGTAGGCTCAACTACCATTCTGGATTGGTAATCCACTAAATGGTTGATGGACAAAGGAGTGAAATTACTCATTGGTTCAGCTATTGTTTTTGGGCTGATCAGCAATTGGATTTTGGAAGGAAAATTCCTCATGCTCAGATATAGACACATTTGGCAGAGAAGGCCTATGAGGAGAAGGAATAAGCTCAGATGGATGACATTCTTTTTCTGCAAAGGGAAATTGAACTTCATAAAATACCACATCTCTGGATATGAATGTCGAGCCATCATGCGTATCATACAACAGGTACCCTTTGACATTAGCAGGCAGTCATATGAATATGTTTTTTCTGCTCCGAGTGGCCATCTTGTGACGTGAATGTGGTAGGGTCGAAGCATAACACAGGCAGCCAAATACTTTGAGATTAGTGAGGTCGGGATCTTTGCCATATAGTCTTTTGTAAGGACTGACCAACCTATGACTGGTGAGGGAAGACGGTTGATCAGGAGAGCTGCATGAAGAGTGCACTGTCCCCAGAATCCCACGGGGAGGTTGGCCTAAAAACGAAGTGCCATTGCAACATTTAAAACATGTTGGTGCTTGCGTTCCACCACCGCATTTTGTTGTGGTGTGTTTACACACGAGGTTTGATGAATTATACCATTCGTGGCAAAGAAATCTTCCATTTTGAACTCTACACCATTATTACTACGAATAATCTTTATAGGCAAACCAAATTGTGTGCAAACAAATTTATGAAACATTCTTATTAGCCCCTTTGCTTCGGATTTTTTTTTCCTCAAATGAATCTAAGTGTATCTTGAGTGATCATCAACGATAGTTAAAACTTAAAAATACCTTTTTCCTCCCAAGGACTGAACCACAAATGGACCCCAAATGTCAATATGGATTAGCTCAAAGCAAGTTTCTGCCATGGTTTTGCTTAATGGGAATGGCAACTTCTTGAATTGTGTTTTGAATAATGACAAACATCACAAGCTAAACTTTTAGTATGAAAAATAGGAATGTCATTAAGCATCTGCATTTTATTCATAGGAAAATGACCAAGCCGTTGGTGCCAAATATCAGTAGTACAAGGCATAGCAAAATGATTACAGTTTTCATGTAATCTCCTAGAGTCTCAAGCAGCAGGTACATGCCACTATCTTCCTTAGCAAAACCAGTGATCTTCCCATAGTCCCCCCGGAGAAGGCACTGATTAGAGGTGAAGGTTAGCTCATAAGATGAATTCTGAAGTAACTTGCTAACAGATATAATATTGAACTTTGAAGAAGTAATATGCAAGGCATTTCTTAGCCATAATCCATCACTCAACCGTATATCCCCTATGTGTTCCACAACTGCTTGTTTTCCATCAGGCAAATTAACCATGGTTCCTTCAATAGAATGATATGTATCAAATAGTTTCATAGTGCAAACTATATGATCAGTTGCACCCGAATCCAAAATCCATGTACATGAATGCAGAGAAACATAATTAATGTGAGTATTAGTAATGCACTTGCCTTCAAGTGATGAGTCCATATTGAGCTTAGGAACCAAATTGACTATTGTTGTGGTAGAAGGTTGGTTCTGTCCCATTTGAGCCTGCAAGAGTGATATTAGCTTCTGAAGCTACTCAGAGGTGGAGGAGCTAGCTTCATTGTTCACGACAGCTGCCACATTCTGATGTTTCCCTTTGGATTTGAATCCTCGCACCCAGCCCAGTGGATATCCATGCTTTTTATAGCATTTCTCTAAATATACAACTCAGAGCTTCAATAAATGCTTCAAGACAACCATAAATCACACATATAACATCATCAACACACAAATAAATCAACAACACTTATTCTGTAACATATCTAAACATCTAATCTCAAGAATCTAACATTTATCAAACTAAAATTGTAGTTTTGGGAATCCATGGTTTATACATTGAGTTTGGCTTTCTCTACTGTGGATCCCTCTCCTTCTTCTTCAGAGATTCCCACCTTCACCACCTATTTTCCTCAGACAAACATAAACACATACTAAGCTCAAACACACCTCAGAGATGGAAGACAGAGATGGATGAACAAGGCTGGAAGATAAAATGAAATGAAGGAGATGAATGGAAGGGGAAATAACTTACTGTGATTTCCTTCTCTCTACTAGAAGATTTCTAGGACTTGGAGTGAAGAGGCAAAATGGAGGGATCAGGGGAAGTAATGGAATAGTGTTTTTTATATATGGGTTCAGAACCCTAGGTGAGAATCATTGGCTGACGAGGGTAAAATGGTAAAATGGATTTTAAACATCAGGCTTCACCTTTTAAAATTAAGCTAAGGCATTAAAATGATTTTATACACCTTGGGGATTAAAAATTGATTTTCTAATAAGATGTTTCTAAATAAAACATTTGGTTCAGGTTTCACTCAGATTGACTTTACACCGATTTAGAAAATTTTTCGAATGAGTAAAAATAATTATTTTTGAAATTTATAAAATAGAATTTAAGAAAATAATTTTTGAGTTGTCACAACTACCATGTCCTTCAGTAGTCTTTCCTGTTGTATTAGCACTCTGATAGGACGATAAGCTACTGTTCACAAATTATGTTTTCAATAACCAACACTATTTGTTGTTGCAGCTGATAAGTAAGACAATTTCACTAATGATCCATTTTGACTATTTTTTCAGTGCAAACCTTAAGATCACTTCCAGTGTATCCTTCAATCATTGTTGCAAGCTCCATGAAATCAATGTCTCCCACATTTTCTTTTGCTAGAAGAGTTCTCAAAATCTTTTCTGTACTCTCTACTGAAGGTAAACCAACCATAATTCTGCTCACCAGAAAATAAAAGATAGTTCTAATCTTTACACAACATCATCTTAAACCAAAAAAGACCTTTTAAAGTTTTCCTGAGAGGAAAAGCCTCAGAAGCAAAAAGCAGAAGAAACACCACACTTCTTTTTGGCAATATGAATATACCTGCGCTCAAACCGTCTAATAATTGCTTCATCCAGGTCAAATGGTTTGTTGGTTGCTGTAAGAACAAGAATGCACTCACCAAATTTTGTCAGCGATCCATCCCAATGTGTCATGAATTCCTTCTTGATTTTCCTCATGGATTCATGTTCTCCAACCCATGTTAGCTGCCCAAGCATGCTATCAACCTCATCCACAAAAATGATTATAGGAGAAACCTTGGCAGCAAGAGTGAACAAAGCTCGGACATTCTTTTCATCTTCACAGAACCATTTTTTGAAGAACACAAGCTCACTAGGGTATTAAAGTGGAGGAGATATGTTGAAAAGATGCAATTATCCCCTCTCAAAAGGGCCATCTAACGGGAATATTGACAGAGGACCAAAATTATCCTCGTCACAATAAGAGTGTCCACAAATTGTCTGATTTTTTTAAGGAGGACTAAAATTGTCCGTGCCACTATAGGTCTAGGACCAAAATGTCTTTTACTTTTTCTGTAAATGGTTTGTATTATTTAATAGGTTCCTATTGAAATTGATAGCTCAACATCAAGACTAGACACCATGTTGACATTCCAATTGACGCAAAAATATGACATTCTATTGGTTTAATGGTCTTTCTAATTGGTTGATAGTGACAACTCTTCTTTTCCTTTTTCTCGGAATAGTCAAACAAATGGGATGAATCCCGGATTTTTATCATTCTCTCGAGATGACAAATTGGGGTAGCCTCATGTTGTCAATATAGAGAAAGAGGTTTGTGTGTGTTTGAGGTAGTGTCACGCAATTGTATCATGGTTGTAGTAACAAACAAGCAAGCAAATGAAATAACTAAACAATGAAATGAAAGTAGGGTTGAATTGCTAGTTTTGTTAACGATGCAATTAAGATCATTAGCCATAGGCGTAGGAACGTGCATATGCTAGAATCTAGGGAAATGAGCCTATGTCCTTTCATTCTTCAATTACTAGAACTTGTCATAGTAGACAATAGAACTCCCCTTAGGGCTCTTAAAGTCTCTATGATCTTTCCTCGAATACCTTGCCTACAAATCCTCCACAACCTAGTCCTTTAGGATCATGAGGTTAGGAAACGTCAAGGATAGAAACTTCAAGCTTAGCACAACCCTAGGAGGTATCCTAGCTCCTAGGATGCATACAAAACAATCCACAACAACTAGATTCCCAAAGCATAGCAACATTCAACTCCTAATCTAAGAATTAAGTCACATTGGCATCATGAATCCAAACTTCACAATTCAAACCCTAGCTAAACTAGCCACACAAAGCCATAAGAAATGAAATAGCAAACATGAATTTAAAGCAAACAATTGAAATGCTAAAGTAGAGAATTTACCAAAGTGAATTACAATTGATGATCTCTTGAATTGGAAGAGTGTCAATCTCCTTCTTCAAT